TCCTCTGCAGTGAATGGGTGCCGTCAGAATGAGAGTCCAAACAGCTTAAAAACAACAAAGATGTTTTTAACTGTCGTTTCTGGCTAAAACATAGAGTCCTCTATCCATAAAATTGCTTTCTCCAGTGAAAAAGTCATCAGCTGTTTGGACTCTCATTCTGACGGCACCCATTCACTGCAGAGCATCCATTGGTGATCAAGTGATGCAATGATAAATTTCTCCAAATCTGTTCTGATGAAGAAACAAACTCGGCTACATCTTAGATGGCCTGAAGGTGAGTACATTTTCAGCAAATGTTCATTTTTGATTAACTATTTGTGTAATAATGTTATCATTTGTACACTTATAAATAATGTCAAATGCATACTTGTGGCTAATAAGATATTACAGGGTAACCATACCTTTGGATACAGCTTTCTGTGTTGTAATTAGAGGAACAGACTGTGGGGAAGGGGTTGTTTCTAAAAAAAAGAAGAATAAAAAATTAAAAAAAGACATGCCATATGACTTTGCACTGAATAAACAACACTACCAACTCACCATTCTGCTAAAGAGACTGGCCTAGTCAAGGTTAAAACTTGCATTACTTAGAAGCCTCAACTCAGTTTAAAGGGGTCATATGATGCTGCTAAAAAGAACATTATTTTGTGTATTTGGTGTAATGAAATGTGTTTATGCAGTTTAAAGTTAAAAAAACACATAATTTTTTACATACTGTACATTATTGTTTCTCCTCTATGCCCCGCCTTTTTGAAACGCGTCGATTTTTACAAAACTAATCGGTCTGAAAAGCGAGGTGTGCTCTGATTAGCCAGCTATCCAGTGCGTTATGCACCAAGAGCTTGTAACACTCCAAAGAGAAAGGAAAATTTGAAATCGCATCATATGACCCCTTTAATATTAAAAACATCAAGGAATGATTTTACAATTATTTAGAATAATTGTACAATTACTTAACCATCTCCTAGAAACACTGGAAAAACCAACAGATCAGGTGATTTAAATTCAGACTAAATGATATCAAGGTCATACTATCAAAGCTTAAAAAAAACAACAACAAGGCCCCAGAAATGTTGCACTACATTAAAAAGCAGACATGTACATACCTGTGTTCATCCCATCACAGTAGAGGAGAAGTAAGGTGAGATGTATGACATTAGCCATGGAGAAGAGTGCTCTTTCCCCGCAGCTGTGCTGTGTGCGGCTAGGGCGAGGCATCTCTTCTGGTGCGTCTTTTTCAGAAGCAGCTCCCCAGAGACACCAACACCCCTCCCTTCACCTCTCTTACTGCAGCCATGGCGACTTGGCAGTACTGGTGTCTGCTTGCAGCTAACTGCTTTAAATTAATCACGAGTGTCAGGAGGCGGCCACAGCCCTGCCTGATCAAACGATTGGAAAGCACCTCTATTGAGATGGCGCAGATAGCGCTGGCACAACGCAGTGTTTGACAATTCTTTGACAAAACTTACAATTCGCACCTCACAAATGTGGACGTAGTTATAAGTGTAGCCTTTTATTTATTTTATGGGCCGTTCAGGTGTTGTGAAAAGTAGTCTGTACTAGAAGATCGTATTACTGTCTGTTTACCGTTCACGTGCATCAGTAGGAGTGTAAACAGCGAGAGATCTTAAGACAGGTGAAAAGCGTTTGGTTAATGGTGAATATTGACCTATTGTGCGTACCGTTGTGGCTCCCGCTGGTAGCAGGGGATAGTCGCTGCATTTGAGGTAAAAACGACGCAATTTTTTATTGTGCAAGGTGCCAGGAATATAAGGAGCCCCGGGTTGCACTGGCTGTTCGTTCACACGCATCTATCGGATTGACAGCTGCCTTTAGCGGTGCCTTTACCGATTACCTCCATCGTTCAAAGCATTCGGCGCGATCGCCTGTGAGTGACGTCACCTCCCAACACAAACACGCCCCGCCCCTGACACTGATTGACAGGTCTCCGTGTAAGCCACATACAGTCTATGGTAAGCCATCGGAAATTCAAATGCATTTGAGTTTTGGCAGGTTACATGCGAGACGCAAAAAGAGAGTGAAAAAGCAGACGTGGTAATTAATATTACAGGCTCATAACTCGTAAGACATGGGAAATACAGTTGCAAATGTACCAAATATATTCTTACCAAATATATTCAGTGAATCTTTCAAATCATATGAACTGATCTGAACACACTTACGGTTTGCTGGTTTGTTCAGAGCAGACATCATTCTCTGCAAATGGATAAATCCTTTGTTAATTTTAAACGGTGATAGATCTATTTAAATATGCATGATTATTCCTCATATTACTTATAATGATTAAAAATCATTTTCAGTGAATGAAATGAAATTATAAAACTTAAAAAACAAAACAAAAATGGCAGGTTACATGCGCGACGCAGAGAGAGTGAAAAAGCAGACGTGGTACTTAATTACAGGCTCATAACTCGTAAGACATGGGAAATACAGTTGCAAATGGACTATGCTTTTTCATTTGAAATTTGGCAGTCACTGTGCATTCGTGAAAGCAAGATTTGCAATTGCGTTTGGATTATGTCACAATTTATGCGTCCACATGTGGAAAACACAATTGAAAATACAATTTGCAATTCCTTTTGAAAATAGTCCGGAATATCCTTCCATAGATATATATATATATATATATATATACACACACTTTCACTGACTTTTTCATTAACTGTTCCCTCCTGGTGGAATGACCTGCCCAACTCAATCCGAGCAGCTCAGTCCTTAGCCATCTTCAAGAAACGACTAAAAACACATCTGTTCCATCTTTATTTGACCCTCTAACTCTATCACTTTCTATTCTATTTTAATTCTACTTTATCTATATTTATCTTCTTTTTTATTTTTTATTTTTTATTTATTTTTATTTAAAAAAACAACAAAAAACAAACAAACACTAGCTTTCTATTTTTTCTATTCTCTTCCCCCGGACATATGGAAGAGGTCATCCGCCGCCTAACGGAGCTCTCGGCCCGCCAGCAGCAGTTTACCGAGCGACTGGCAGCCCGGCAGGAATATACTGACCGGGTCGTGGAACAGCTGCAGGCCAGCGTGGCGGGGCGCCTGCCCCTCCCGGAAGCGCCGGTCAGAGCGCACCAATACCTCGTCCGGTTGACCGAGAACGACGACATCGAGGCTTACCTCCACACATTTGAGATCATCGCGGCCCGGGAGGGGTGGGTTCAGGAAGAGTGGGCTCGCATCATCGCCCCCTTCCTCACCGGAGAAGCGCAGCGGGCCTATTATGCCCTGAGGGCACCCCGGAATGAACAGTATGACGAGCTCAAAGCCGAAATCCTAGCCCGGGTGGGCCTATCGCCCATGGGGGCGGCGCAACAGTTCTATCAATGGACCTATGATGAACGGCAGCCAGTGAGAGCGCAAGCTGCGCAACTGGCCCGATTGACTCACCTGTGGCTTCTCGCGGGGTCCCCGACCCCGGACCAGGTAGCCGAGAAAGTGCTCATCGATCGGCTGCTACGGGCACTGCCCCGCCCGCTGAGGCGCCCGGTCAGTATGCGAAATCCCCAGGACACTTGTAGTGATTTAGTAGCTGCGCAGCAGGAAGATCCTGTTTTGCAATCTTTGTTCGCTGCTGTGGTAGCCTCTGAGGAAGTGGAGAGTGTAGCGAATGGCTATTTTATACAGGATGAATTGTTGTTGAGGAAGTGGAGTCATCAAAGGGAAGATTCCTGTGAGGAGGCCATAATTCAGGTAGTAGTGCCTGCTAAATTTAAAGAGGTGGTACTAAATGCTGCTCATGGTGATGTGGCTGGCCATTTGGGCGTGAAGAAAACTTATTATCGGATTTTGCGGCAATTCTATTGGCCGCGTCTAAAAAAAGATGTTGCAGCATTTATTAAAACATGTGTGGCGAGTATCCCGAGTCCAGATTAGCGTCGCCCTGGAAACGCCGCTGCCACACTGATCACCGACGCACAACACCTGTGCGCGATGAGTGGCGCACCTGGAGCTCGTTCCCGCTGGCCTTAAAAGCCAGGAGATGAGACACCAGCGGGAAGGCACCCCGGAGCTCCAGGCGAAATTAATTCTTGTTTCTCCTTGTTCACAGACTCCGAAGGCACCCTGGGAGAGGGATCTGCACCACGGCACTGCACCCCACGAGCACCACGCTGAGACGGGCACCGAGCACCATTCATCAGAGCACGTGTGATCAGTGTGTGGGCAAATATATCACCCTCCGGGGCTCTTTCGATCAGTACCGAGCCTGTGTTCTCATTCACCCCGCGACAATATATAAGAAACAAGACATAAAGTGTCCGGCACAAATAATATAATTTTCTGTGAAAGTCGCTTTTACACTACAAAGCCTTGACAAAGTTGCAAACGATGAACAAAAGATTAATTAATCTATTTTCTGACAATGGAAATAAAGGGCTCAGACCAGCTGATGGAATTTGGCAGAAAATGGTTACTCTTTTTTTGGCTGGGGTCATTGTCAGGATGTACTTGATGATGCAACTGCAGGGCTGTTGCACAGAAAAGCCTCTCATTGGATTTACTCTGATCGACCAATCCTGAAGCTAGAATAAAGCTTGATTCAGAAAAAAAGAAAGGAGTAGAGTATCTTTCTTTTGGAAAGAGCATCAGTTCACATTCATTGTGATCAGCCAGTTGAAGATACAAGAACAACTAGCAAAATGTCTCATGATGGAATGTCCAGAGAAGAATATGAGGAGTATCAGAAGCAGATGGTGGAGGAGAAGTAAGTTTGAATCTCTTTTATAAACATGGGATATTCTAGCCCATTTCATCCAGGAGGTTTTTCATAATTTTATAAACTCAATGAGTATTACTCTCAAATGGAACGAACCGAAATGTATCACCCAATAACATTCCAAACATTCCATTTAAAAATTGTTTAGTGTCAAGTATATCTTTCACATGATACTCAGATAAAGGCTACTGTACAATACATTGGTTGAGCTGTGAAAGAAACTGTGTCCCCTGTATTTCCCCTATTGTAAATATGTTAAATGTGATGTACCCTGATGCTGGGCTGTTTTCTGATAACATTGTTGTTACAGTTGATGCTGGTATCACTTTCCAGTTCATTTTCTATTCCTGTTCTATGTGCGTTTCTCATCTTCTGTACATTGCCTGCTTCTTTGGGAATAAAGGATGGAGAGAGATGCAGAATTCAATACAAAAAAGGCAGAAAGAGCTTGTCTGAGGACTTGTTTAAGAGAAAAATATCGACTTCCAAAGGTGAGAGTCCCAGGATCAGATAAATGAATCCCTTTCAGTAATGCCGAATTTAGTTATTCCTGTCCCCGACTGACTGCTTAAGCAGCACATGAATAGCATCAGTCTGCAGAGATGGTTAAACTATCAAGCGTGTGAAGGTTGCAGTGCAGACTGTGGCAGTAGATTAAGGCATAAAACAGTAAACTAAAATAGTGACTCTGGATGTTCAGAGCTTAAAGCCCACAGTGATTAATCTCTAAAGTGAGCTTTAAAAGCACTGCTGTAGAGTTTTCAAACCGTGTGTTTCACTAGCAGTTTCATGTTGAGTGACATCTGTTGAAGTCTAGATTCATCAATAAGGAAGCTTATGCCAGACATTCTAAAGAGGACGAAGAGGGAAAATGTATAAAAGTGTATACAAGATATTATTATTTTACATGACCTTTCCAGGTCTACAGTACAAATCACACATTTACAAACTATTAAAATTTTGCAAAGCTGTAACCACATATTCAGGATTTGGAGTGTTAGATCAGATTTTTTTTTTTTTCTGAGATGGAAAAAAAGAATACAAATTATTATTTAAATAAATATTTACCTGAAATTATCTGGGATTCTACACTGCAAGATATAAAATTCTCTTTAGATTTTTAAGAAACTACTAATTATACACAATTAATTAATAAATTAACTTAAATCATTACAATGTTCGGTTACACTTTATTTTAAGGTGTCCTTGTTGCAGTGTAATTATACATTTAAGTACTGAGTAATATTAATTAACTAAATGTACTTACTATATGGTTAGGTTTAGGATTAGGGTTTGTCTTAGGGTTACTTGCATGTAATTATGCATAATTAATTGTTATTATAATAGTAAGTACATGTAACGTGTATAACAAGGACACCTTAAAATAAAGTGTTACCCAATGTTCATGTATTGTTATAATCAATATATTTACTTATCCTTTATTTCAAAGAATGCTTGCTTATTGATATTTCAATGAATGTCTTATTTTTATTTTTCATTGTTTCCAATCAAACTGGCTCGCTAAACTAAGTAAAGAAGTGTGTCAGGTATGGCCAGTATCTGTATACAATACTATATACTAAACTAAACTAGATAAATGTTTTTCAAACTATTATAATATTTTTTTGCATGGCTCTAATCAACATTTGAATAATTTAAAAAAGAAAACAAATGAGTATTATATCAGTATCTTGAAAGACAATGTGACCATTTATTGAAGTAGCTAAACCGCTAATATCATCACCTCATACTCTGCTTTAGTTATAAAAGTCATATTTGAGGCTTCCTTTAAAGCATGTAATGTAGTTCCTAGTATATAATCCTACATATATAAGCAAACAAGTGCTATTAGATTTGAATTGTTAGGTTTAATTGACGTGCTGATTGTTTTTTCCAGAGTGAACAGGATGAGATTATGATTCAGCAGGCCGGAGATGACATTGATGTGCCAGAAGAACTGATCAAGATGGTGGATGGAGAAGCGCCACAGGAGGAGGAAAAGGAGTCCATCATGGGTCAAATGCAGAACCTTCAGAACATGGATATGGGGCAGCTCAAAGAAAAGGCTCAGGCCACGTTTGTGGAGATGAAATCCAAGGCTGAGGAGAAGTGCACTGTCATGTAATGT